ACGTAGGAATGGAAATCATCATTATTAATTGACAATACGTCGTCGATATATCTAAATGTCGAGTTTAAGGCCAAAGCAAGTGTTTTCTTCTTTTCACGCATAAGATTTTGCATAAATTCTGCTTCATATGAATATTAAAATAAGTCTGCTAATAACGGAGCGCAATTAGTACCCATGGGAATTCCAATAGATTGTTGGACTACCTGGTCTCCAAAAACCACATAGATATTGTCAATCAGAAACTCAAGCATCTTCTTGATGTCAACTTCAGAGTATTTATGTGTACAATCAGAATCTGATTTCACAAAATAATTTTGCAAATGACCAATGACGACGTAAGTAAATTTACGAGTTCCATTTTTATTGAAGAAGCAGCTGTCAATGATATCAAAAAGCCTGGATTTTAATTTGTCCAAAAAATTTTATGAGTTCACGTGAAAAAATTCCAAACTCCCAATTGACCGTTTCATGGTAACTGCGATACTGCACTTTTGCAGGGCAAAGCGATACAGTTTAGTGAAATATGACGTAAAAGTAACTGTTAAAGATACGTCATTTAATTATCTCTCAACAAAAACTTCGCCAAACGTTATTATTTTGCCCTGCAAATGTGTAGTACCGCAGTTACCGTGAAGGGGCTATATTAGCAACATTGTGGCTTAAACATAGCAACATCTCACTTGAAAAAAAAACAACAATGATTTAAAGCAATCTCCATGCCACAAAACTATCGATTACCTTAGTCAACAGGACCTTTTATCTGACGTCTAGCTATAACGTCATAGCCTACTCCACTGCGTTACGATATCCGGTGAAGCATGAAGCGGTTCGAGGACTTATCGAGGGCTATCTGACGTCATACTTTCGTCACTTTAACGGTTCGGGTATTTCCGATTTTGTCGGAAACTTCCGAAAAGTTCGGAATCTCGATTCCGATGCTTGGAAAGTGATTTCTTTTTATTGTTTTTTTTCTTTCTTTTTGTTGAATGATCAGGCAGTACATGTGTAGGTTTATGATATTACATAATTGCGCTCGCCCCAACGGTTACTGTACCGTAAAACATTAATAAGTAATTCTTTAATAAGATTGTTTTGCATCATTTATGATGGAATCTCTCAACCGAGCATACTCCTTGGTTACATGTACTGTTGTGAGGTCGTCTGGTACTTAAAGACTCCTTGCAAGAACACAAGAAAACATTTTGATATTTGTTAATGAGATCACGCTGAGAGACATGATGATTTGGTATCTGGTTGGTAAAACAAACAATACAAAACAAGAGTAAAACAAATAATACAAAACATTAGTAAAACAAATAATACAAAACAGGAGCAGAACAAACAATACAAAACAGGAGCAGAACAATCAATACAAAACAAAAGCAGAACAATCAATACAAATCAAGAGCAAAAAAAAAAATAATTCAGATCATATGGAGGAAAATCGCTGGCAACAAACACATCAGATGTGGGGTCAGGTGCGATGGACGAGTGGGTATTCTCTGCCGATCAGTCACATCCGCCTTGAAATTATATACTGTATACAGGGTTATTTTCGCCCTTTTGCACTTGCAAACAATTTTGCCTCGTTTTAAATTCGCCCATTCATAGTTCTATTTAAGAAATTATGCTGTGTAATTTGAATTCGCCCAGTTTTAAATTCGCCAAATCAAGAAGAGGGCGAAAGGGGCGAAAATAAAACGAAGGCGAAAATTTCCCTGTATACAGTATTGATTAACGTTAATTGTAATCAATAAAATGTATTGAATGTTTGATACTGTTCAAAACAGTATATAGTGATGCATGACAGTGGCTCTTTTTTAAAATATCTTTATCAGGCAGCTATTGACTAATTAATTCGACAACTAAAATCCCGGATTATGGAAAGATGTTTATGGGTAACTGGACTGTCAAAATACTAAATATTGTAACATTAAATGATATATTTTAAATGAATGTAGAATAGTTGGATAAGGAATAATGAATTCAGGTACTCTGATTGACATCAAAAAGATGCCTGAGTTTCTGATTGACAATTTCTATGTGATTTTTGACTGAAATTTTGACTTACGGCTAGGTTTGTTTCATGCTCCTGGGGCCATGTCTTTCAACAACCCATTGGAATTCTCATGGGTACCAATTGCGCTTCGTTATTAGCAAACCTATTTTTGTATTCATTTGAAGCAGAATTTGTGGAAAATCTTTTTTGTGAAAAGAAGAAAACACTTGCTGTGGCCTTCAACTCGACATTTCGATATATCGACGACGTTTTGTCAATTTACATTGGTAATTTCCATTCCTAGTGATGACTTTAACTTTTCTATCGTCAACTTCCCTAACTTATGCAGCAATATACCTTTATCACCTGCAGATGGAGTGTATATATCTCAGTTGATTCGATACGCAAGAGCATGCTCTACATATGAACAATTTCTAAAACGAGGTAGATTATTGACAAGCAAATTGATGAAACAAGAATATCAACAGTCTCGTTTAAAGTCATCATTTCGTAAGTTCTATGGTCGATACAATGACATTTTCAGCAAATACAATTTATCACGAAGTCAAATACTGACTTAGTTTTTCACACTTATTGTTAGTCCATTATTTGTACAATTTTTTTCGTTATTCTCCGATCATGACAAGGAGCACACGGCAGGTGTGACCGGTCGGCAGGGGATGTTCACTCCTCCATGGCTCATGATCCCATCTCTGATGTTTCGGAGGTTTGTGTTTGCTCTGCTCCCGTATTATATTGTTTTGTGGACTTTCAAATTGAATACTGTTCGTTATCTCCATATCCTTCCATATCCACCGACAATAGATTGACTTAATTTTCTATGTTGTGTAATTTTCTTTGGCTGTTTGTCATATTTTAGTGGTTGTTAGACGCCAAAGACATTTTGAGATTGAAAATTGGAAAAATGTATATAAATAACAAAATGAAGATACAAATAGATTTGATTTGTTTCATGATAATTTATATACTCTCGCTATCTGGTGTATTTCTTTGTAACACTTCATAAGAATGAAAACGGAGACTTGTGGTTACTCTTCAAATTTTTATTTTCACTTTGAAAAAAATTTCTTTATTATTTTTTTTTTAAAAGAATGAAATAATTTTAATCTTGATAATGTTTAGAATTGATTTCTCAATTTTTACTTTCAAATTGACGTATCAAATAAATATATCATTTTCAAATGTGAAAATAACTTTTAATAACTTGGATATATTCATTGCAAAAACTTATATTTTTCCTTTCCTTCCATATAAAATTAAACAATTTTTTCTGAAAATTCAAAATCCGTGTTTACATGTTTCGGTCTTATAACCATTATTTTATGCTTCAAAACTCAAGAGAGCGATCCTCGTTCATATCGAGACAGGTACCGACATAAAAGTTGATGTTACAGGGATTTCGTCAATCTAATTTAAAGTCAGTATATCATTACTTCTATATGTCGTTAAAAGGACCATGTTAGCGATTATATTCTACCATTTGGTGGTATTATAGCTGACTTGTTCCATTCCAATTGTAATCAGACTTTTGTATTTTATACTGAAATTGACTTTGAATTGTTCAAATACGTGAGGCTCACGTTTGGCGTGACCGGTCAACAGGGGATTCTTACTCCTTCTAGATATCTAATCCCACGTCTGAACTTTTCAGAGGACTGTGTTATGCCTTCTTAACAGATTTGTATTGTGGACAATATTCTTTAAATCGAACGCTGCTTGTTGCAGTGTACATGTATCGCCATCTATTCCATGGCATAGACTCTCTCACAGTGTTATGAATACACAGTCATAATGGGTAATATATACAAATAAAAGCCAAAAAATGTAACCAAGAATTATTCGCGTCATCTTTTATTCTCAATTCGTAAATTTGAAATCAATACGCGATGATTAATTTCGCAACTGAAGAGATTTTCATTACAAATACAGAGCAAAATAGATGGGTCGTGGTGATTGCTTTATACATGTAAGGAAGTAAAATAAGGCAGCGAAACTTGCAGATATTTCTCGCTCGAAACTAAAAATTAGATAACAGTAAACAGAAAATTCAAAGTCCTTTAGGTGGATACAGGATATATTTTTTAAAAATCATTTGATAGATTTAAAAAAAAAATCATTCGTACTTGTGAAAGTATTTTTAAACAAAAAAGAACACAGCTTTACTCCCAAAATGCTGCATGTGACCTACATGTTCCTGTTACACGTGTCACTTGAGACGAGATCTCCTGATCTAGATGAGAAAATCACGCTACTAGGGTGTACGTCATGGTTCACAAACCTCTTGCAGAATAGAAATGTACATTCATTTGCTGTTACTTCGACTCTGAACTAAAGGTGGGGTTCTTTTATATTTTTTTATTATTATGCTAATATTACTTGCAAAACTAGGCTTTTCATGAAATAGAAAGTTGATTAATTGTAAAAGAACGATATTAATGTATGAATCATTTCTTACCTGACACTTGATACCAATCTTATCTGTTTAGAACTTAGGCATTATAGTGTTGAAAAAGTGCATATTTGTAAACCAAGCTAGCTAGGACTATCGTTCCCTGGGTAAAAATCGGCATACATAAAAGAACTTGACGTTCATCAAGCAAATAAAAATGTACGGGTATACATGAAATACAGTTTTTTTCTATTATAGTCCACTTCTTGGGTCAAAACTCTGGATCCAGAAGTGCAAGTATTTTACAATATTAGAGGAGAATTCTGGTGCATCTTCAGTTATCGTGATCAATTGTTTAAACTAACGCTTTTAAATATTTAATAATCCGAAAGAATAAAAAGAAACTAAACAAACAGGAAGAAGTTTACATGAACTATGTTCTTCTCTCCTATTTAACATATTTATTAGAACAGAATTTTCCAGAATTTAAGTGAGCGGACATCAGTTTTTTTCTTGGGATTTTACTTTTTGAAAAAAATGCAGGAAAATAATATTTTATTTTTATAACTTTACTTAGATACATCGTATGAAATGACTGATCTATGTGCTGAAAGTGTGGATGACCTCGACGATATCGGTTTTCCAGAAACAGATCTAACTTTAGTTGTTGAAGATAAGAAAATTCATGTCAACAAAGCTGTAATTTCCCAGCATTCACCGGTTTTTACTGCCATGTTTTCTGGTAACTTCAAAGAAAGCACATCAAGGGAGATAACTTTGGATAACAAAAAGGCTAAAGATATTGTTGAGTTTCTCAGATGCTTTTATCCAAACATGAAGCACCCAATTACAGGTAAAATTTTGTTGTATGACTTCATTGATCCTAGGATTTCTCTTCCCCCTTTTCAAATTCTATTAAAACGACTTGCCTACATAAATGTTCTATATGCTCTAATTGTTTTTTTTAGATTTAAATATTTTACGAACGCAGTGAACTCTAACTACAAAATGTATGAACGAAAGGAATTTTATTTCGGAAAAGACGATAATGACAATCTAACAACCAACCTCTATGATAAACGTGATGACTTAAATTTAATTAACAATCGTCAGCTTCCCTTACGTATGCAGCCATAATACCTTCATCACCTGCATGCATAGGTTGTATATCTCATTTTTTTTTTCGATACAATTTCTTGAACAAGTTAAACTAGATGCTGTCATGAGACAGTAATACCCGCACTAAGGTGTTTGCCTCTAAATGCACACTTCTTCATATTGGGCTTTACCAAGGGAAAAGTCAGTATAATTCAATAATTTACATAATACATGTATTCATCAAATTGAGCATAATATGCTCAGGTGACCATGTAGCTGCAGATCTGCAGCGTTATGGTTTTATATATTTGACTTTGACCATAACGCTACAGATCCCCATATGCAAAAAAGGTGCAATTTACGGCGCAATATTTTTTGCGCACTCTTGGGCAGTTTTTCTCCACTTTCTAGCATTGGTCAATCAACTACCTTTCACTCCCTAATTTTAGACTCATTCTGTAGCCAATATGTATATTTTGTCCACCTCCCAGCCATTTAATGATTTATAGTCATCTCTACAGGCAAAAAACTCGCTTGATGTGAATTTTCAGCAATCTAACAAATAATTTTAATCAAGCGAGTTTATCACGTGTAGAGACGACTATAAAAGGATTGGAGATGGATAAAATATACAGATTAGTTAAACAATGTGCCTAGAATTAGGGAGTGAAAGGTAGTAAATTAACCGATGCTGGAAAGTGGAGAAATTCTCCCCAGAAGTGCGCAAAACGTATTGCGCCGTAAATTGCACCTTTTTTGCATATGGGGATCTGTAGCTTTATGGTCAAAGACTAATACATGTATATAAAACCATAACGCTACAGATCTGCAGCTAGTGACCATGTGACCCATGGGACTCCATCTTATTGGTATTTCATATTCATAATTGATTACCAGTCGGAAATTAAACAACAGAATTAAATTAATGATGTAATTAGGTTTGATAAAGGGGGGGGGGGTGTATAAATTTTTGGCACATACTGTATAAGTGGAAATTTTAGCGAAACGCAAATTTAGCGATTTCTACCTAAAATCTGGTATTTTATTTTTAGCGAGAAGTAATTTTAGCGATTTTAAAATGCTAATTCAAGAAGCTTTTACAAATGATAAGCAATTAATTTTCAGTGGTATTCAATTTTAGCGATGTCAGCACCCTCGCTAATAATGCCAAAATTAAATCCTCGCTAAAAATTCTACTTGTACGGTAATTGGAACTTTTTAAATCTATTTTCTAATATAGATTAACAAAAAATAATATTATTCAAATTAGTGTAAAGCGTTTTTGATGAATTTTTCAAAATGTGCAAAGTTTATTTATATTTGATTAGGCAGAAACTTCTTGAAAGCTGCCATATACACAATCAATTTAGTCATCCCCCACCCCTCTCCCATCAACACACACACACAAACACACCTTATTTGCCTGTTTTTGGAAATAGGCCTAGATGGCAAAGTTAAAATAAAACATCTTTTGTAAATGATAATTTTCAATTTGTTCTTGCACTATACATGTATCTGAACACCTGCATCACATTGGGCTTGCGTCACGTTCCCAACTTAAGTACTAGTTTTACCACTGGCATTATCATTTTAGATTTCACTGCACGTGCAGTAGGCTACTAGTGTGCATCATTGCATAGGCCTATATGTCAGTAGGAATTATTTCATTTTGTGCTTTAACTGGATTATATTTCATGAAGATGACAAGGCCTAATTAATGACAATCGGTAAGTACAAGTTTTGGTATAGATTTGGGTAAAATAGTCTGAAATGCAAACGGTTAGGTTCAAGTTTAAAGGATCAAAGGTCATCCGATGCTACAATAGATGAATTTCACATTCTGAAGAGTTATCCCCCGTTATCAACGTTACATTCAGTTACAAGATCCAGAGTTTTTTTTCGGGGGGGGGGGGGGGAGGGCCAGACCAGAATTTCCTGAGAAGCAAAAAAAGAAAAAGAAGAAGTTATGGTTGGGTCTGTTTTCTAGGGTGGAGGGACACTTAGGGCATTCAAAGTCATTTTTACTTCCTCCAGTATAATTATTATAGTCCTGCAAATTCCAGGGGGGGGGGGGGGGGGGGGTTGAGGGGGCGATCTCCCAATTCCCTGTCCCTGTAATGACAAATGATCATGTGACTCCTAAATAGTAGGAAACTTTTTCCATTTGACTATACATAATTTTGTTACTTGTGTTATTATGTTATGTAAATTTAATGGTATAAATGTTATGAACCCCTGGAGGTCATCCCCACTCTCCTAATGAGCTGGAAATGTTCACAATATGACTGCATTAAATTAAATAAAAGTGCATCAATGATAAGATTACTTGACATTTTATTCATGAATTCGTGTCAACCTATCTTCCTAGAATTAGGAAATCATTCAGAGATGGACCACATTAAACTCTTTGTATAAACATTTTTTTTTAAATGTAAAAACAAGTAGTAGTTTGCATACATGAACAAACAGGGGTCTGGGAAGGGATGAGGGGAAGGATCGAGTTAATATTTCTTTACGCCTTAATGGTTGAAAACTCCTAAAATGAATGTTGACCTCAAATCTAATTTGTCCTCATTATTTTTCAAGTGGTGGTGTCTCCATATGAGTGAAAAATTCCTGAGAGGGATGTTTAACAACAAACAAAATGACATAAAAACACAATATTGATTTGCGTTAAGAAATATGCAGGGGATTTTTTCCATCATAAATTTTCTTCTCAAGAACAGCAAGGGCATTATTGTCCTCCATTTTGGGGAAAGGGAGGGGACATTAAATCCCATTTGTCTGTCAGTCTGTCCATCTTATTGACAGTTAGTATGTGCATCTGTCACAATAAATTTAACCTTGGTCATAACTTTTGAATAATAAGAGATAGTGCTTTCATATTTCACATGTACATTACCACAAAACTTTCTAAATATACTATGATTTTTTTAACCAAGTGAGACCTTGACCTTAAAGTTTTACCTACTTTCCAAAAAAAAAACATTTTTAATTGATCATTTTGAAAGAGAAAAGAAAGGGCATTCAAATTATACATGTTTATTACATGTGAAAAGACTTTTCTAAATATATCATGACTTTTGACTCTGTGACCTTGACCTAGAAGTTTAACCTACTTTTCAAAAATATTATATTGTTTATACAACTTTTGATTCAAAAGAGATAGGAATTTCATATTTGACATGTACAACAAAATGTTTCAGAGCATGCTATGATTTTTCCCCTTTGACCCAGTTTTCAAAAATTGATATATGATAGGGGTGCATATTTGACACACAATCTGCCATAAATTATAGCATCCCATTCACTAAAACACAGAAAGCAGAGGACCACAATTCTTTGAATTTGCTTGTATAATCTTGATATATGGAAACATCCTCATATAATGTAGATTCAAGTTTTTTATGCCACACCATGATTAGGAATGCATGTATAGTTTTGTCATGTCCATCCTCCACCCTTCCATCTGTCTTTCCATTGGGCTCAAAGAAACTTTCTAGATATTTTTATCAAAGTTCATATGTTGATGCATACTGATGTAAATATCCAACTGCAGCAATATTTTTTGACTTTGACCTTTCCTTTGACCTTCACTTAACTTTTCTTTAAATTAGTGTTTAGCTTTATTTTAAAGAAACCCTTCAAGTTGTGTAATGAAACTTCACATGATGATACATACTGATGTAAGCTTTACAATGCTTCACTCTTTTTTACCTTGACCTTTCCTGTGACCTTGACTTCACTTTTCTAAAATTAATGTCTAGATCAGTTTTGAATAAACAATTCAAGATATATTTATCAAACTCCATATGCTGATACATACTGCTGAGATCTATTAATACATCAACTTATTTTGACCTTGAATTTTCCTTTGACCTTGACCTCACTTTTTAAAATATGTGTTTATCTAAGTTTTAAATAAACCATTAATTATAGTTTTATCAAACTTCATATGCTAATAGTAAATTCATACTGATGTAAGCTTTTCAACTGCAACAACATTTTGGCCCCAACATTTCCTTTGACCTCTCTTTTTTTAGAAAAAGTGTTCAGCTCAGTTTCATTAAATCATTCAAGATATTTTTATCAAACATAATATGCTGATATGTATTAATGAAGCTACTCAACTGCATCAAAAACTTCACCTTGCACATTCCTGTGACCTTGACCTCCATCCTTTTTAATTTGTATTTCGCTTAGTTTTAAAGAAATGATTTAAGACATTTTTAAAACATCATTTTTCGACCCCCATTAGTCCCCCCGGGGCAAAATCAAAATTCTGAAACCCTGCTGTACATCTACATGACACTATCAACCATCTCCCAAAAGATGATTAGGCTACTGTGTAAAATGTAAGAGGAGTTCAGGGAAGACGGGGCTTTTTGCATAAAAAACATCATTTTTCGACCCCCATTTGACCCCCGGGGGCAAATTCTAGATTCCGAAACCTTACTGCACATCTACATGACACCACCAACCATCTCCCAAAAGATGATTAGGCTACTGTGTAAAATGTAAGAGGAGTTCAGGGAAGACAGGGCTTTTTGCATAAAAAACGTCATTTTTCGACCCCCATTTCACCCCCCGGGGCAAAATCAAAATTCCGAAACTTTACTGCACATCTACATGACACCACCAACCATCTCCCAAAAGATGATTAGGCTACTGTGTAAAATGTAAGAGGAGTTCAGGGAAGACGGGGCTCTTTGCATAAAAAATGTCATTTTGCGACCCCCATTTGACCCCCCGGGG